AGTTGTCACGGATGGCGCCGTGACCAGTAAACCACGCTACGACGTATCTCAACCCATCCCCTCCCTTGTCATCACCTCAGAACACATTCCGATCCCTTCTTCCTCTTCAACTCCCGACCCAGTCCAGAACGGCAGTAAGAAGAGCTCCGCCAACGCCACTGCCAACGCCAAAAAGAGCGGAAGTGGTCGTCTACCCCGCAGCACGGTGATTAGCTTGCAGCAGCAGCAGTTACTGAAGAGTCATCTAGACTTTATCCAGGATATTGCTCTGCTGAGAAGCCCGTATGGAATGATCGTGAGCGTTGATCGCGCGGGAATGGTTTACGTTTTCCAATGATTTTTTTATCTCTCTCTTCCTCTCTCTGTGTCTGTGTCCACATGTATAACTACTGATAGTATTGTTATGAGTATACTTATGATACATCTAATTCGGAACCATTCTCGCTTTGTAATTTGAAAAATAAGCCGTAGGCAGTCCGTAACTACAGTAGGAGTCAGCCTAAATCCGACGATTAATAGTACCGTAGTAGCGCAACTTGGCGGATGTCCAAACTACTTGGTAGATAAGGGGGTGTGGCTAACTAGATAGTTATCATATGATCTATGATATGTCTTAGACTTAGTAGTTGATTGCCAGGATTAATGCATAGCGTCTAACGGTCGATAATCCTACTAGATAACTAAGTACCTTACCCTGTTCAACGGCTGGAATGCGAATGTCTGGTTGGTTGGTTGGTTGGTTGGTTGGCGACGTATCTACTTACTCCTAATAATAATATGACATATCGGATTAATGCCATGGTTTTATAGTATTTTCCCCTTGGGTCTCCACTTTAGTTCTCTTTTCCTGTCTACGGAGTATTGTAGTGGTAGGAATCTGCGCCATTTTATTTGCTGGTGGCATCAACGATGATATATACTACCGTCTTATGGAATTGTAGTACCTACGTTCGATGTATGTGCTTCTGTTCTAGTGGTAAGTACTAGGCCAATGCATAAGTTACATAAATCAAGCACGATGGTCAATGCTAAGTAGTAGTACCTACAATACTAGTGTATATAGAGATGGAGCAATGTTAGAGGAAAATGCCGGAAAGATTGTAGAAGCAATCGGGTGGGACAGCGAACTTGGGGGGAGAGGGGAAATGATGAAACACTAGGCGACGGATACAGAAAGCGATCGGCAAAGAAAATTATAGACTGGATGCGACCAATGCGGTTGGCACTAATTTCTTTTCATTGTCAGCTTTTGCGCTGTGCGTGACAAAGAGAGAGACATTTTAGTTGTTTTTAATATCGGATTAATTTGATTGATACAGTTGGGATTGAGGGTCGCTTGGCTGTTGCTATTCTACTTTTACTTGTTGTCTTGGTTGGATTAGTTGTAGGAATCGTGCCAGGCAACTATTTCCGTAGTTGGGATGATTCGTCGAAGAGCCATTGAAGATGTGTAAATTCTCGGCATCGCATTCTGGCGAGCGGAGGTGATTACTCGACCTAGTTATTGCTAGGGCGTAGTGTTCCGTACATCCGAAACCAACTTCTAAACATTCTTTTGTGTTTATTCGTGTCGGAGAGTTTGTGAGGTCCAAAGATGAGTAGCGACGGTAAATTAAGGCAGGCCCTATTATTGAGTATTGGATAGATTAAGCGAGGGCCAATTTCGGATACAGACAGGTGACCGGTCGATAGGTCAACCTGCAGTATCCATAATTGAGGCATGCACTGATGCGCAAACAATTCTATCTTGACCTTCTTATGATTGATAATGGTGCGTGCAGTGGGTTCAAAAGGGTTCGAGCGGATGAAAAGTCTGGTACCGCCAGATCTGGACCATGAGATGAGAATCCCGCGTCCCGTTGGCGAACCATGGATGGCGAAATTAATACGATTCATGCCGCGACGGTATCCAGTTCAGTCTCCATCTGGCTTCTGCAGGGCCCGATCGCGGTTTGCTTTTGTTACAGGTAGACATTCTTCGGCCAAGTTCCATCCCCGAAGACTTGGCGGTGTGTGGTCTGGTTTCTTATTCTCCTGCCTTCTTTGCCTTGCTCCTCATATTGACTGTGGGATGGGATATACTCCGTAAAATTGGATCGACACCATCGGGCTTGGTTGACGGGTGATATCTGTAAACGCAACATTATGTTCGTCGGACTGGTAATATCCCGATCTCTCAATCACGAACGCGCCTCAGACTGGAGATCTAGATCGACGTTTCTATGCATGCACTGAATCTGATATTCCGGCAGCCGGTGGGCGAATGACTGTCAGGGTAAATGGCGGACTGACTCGATCGGTGGATCGGACCCAGCGGCGGGCAGTGAGACAGACGCGTCGCTTACCGACCGAATGGACCTGATGGGGGCGTCTAGCAATGTTCTGGAGAATGACACCGGAATTACAATCTGCAGCAGTGAGGGTCGAGTGTCAATGCGCTCCAGTCTCAACACGGCGACACACACAAACACTTCAATAGGGGTTGGAGGGAACAGCCGGAAATCCCGGGCGACGCCCATGACTTATGCACACAAAACCAAACTCAAGCCTTCGTTATGAGACTTACTGCGAGGTATTGCTTCTATTGTTTACGGTCGTGGTAGATGGTTGCTTGTATTACCTTTCTTCGTTCTGCTTTGGGCGCATCTTGAGCCGCTCTAGGAGATTTTCTCGGCTGGGGACGTCGTCAGCGATGCGAGTGTCTCTGCGAGTGCGACATGAACAACCCCTAACTGCCGTCCTACATGAGCCAGACCGCACTTATGGTGGCCTCTGCCGTACGCCCATAGTTGATAGGCTTAGTTCCTGGAGCCTAAGCGTCCGAGAGCGAACCACTGCGCATCCTGAAATGATGATCTCCCACGCGCAGGCAGGGATAGCTGATCTGGTTCTGACACGAACAGTCGGAGTACAGAGCAAATAGGGCCTAGCCAACTAGATGAGGTTTCTATCGTTGTACTACTCCGTATCTCAGAAATCAAATTGTCGATAGAGTTTGGCGCCCAGGAAGAGCGACCACCTCCCATTCATCAATCGAAGAGGATGGGAAGACCGGCGGAGAAAGCGTAATCTCCCCTTCCGGGACGTTTGTCTTAGACCCCTGATGACCGTGCCCGCCAGTTAGTCCACCGGCCTTGCACCGTTTCTGCTTTTGCTAAATTTATCGCGTCGGAGATACTATCATTACGCTCGTAAGGGGCTGCAGTACAGAGGTAACAGCATTGTTAAAGGCTTTCCAACCTGGCTGCATAGCCGGGGGTTTTTCTTCCTTGTCCCACGTTGGGTGTACTGCAGTTGGACACGACATGGCAGACTTGAAACCGCGGAGGATGGAAGCGTGGTCACACCCTGGTCTGGTGTAGTGTTTAGAGCAAAGAATCTGCGACCAGAGACCGGGGGTGTGTGTGTTTGGCTAATGATCAACCTCAAGAATAAGACTGTGAATGCCCTGGTCAGACACGGCACTAAGAGGTTTGTTTAACTTTCGACTGAACCTTCCCGTGGTGGATTTGTCATTTCGCATCGTGCCAAATGCGACTGGTTTTACTCCGTACCTTGCCTTTCTATCCTCTTCAGGGCATGATCTCTAATTTTCTTTTCTTTTTCTAATCCACCCTTTGCTCTGTTTCCTCGGTTCTCACCAGTTTTGGCAGGGTGCCTGGAAGATCCATTCTCGCGTGGGAGAGAGACTTTCGGGCCGTCCGTCTCCTGCTAGCAATGAATCGATAGTACTCCGTGGTAATAGTAGAGAGTGTTATCGTGGGATTCTGGAGCCGGGATACCGTTCTGACTAGATATTAGCCTGTCGCATGGTCAGACTCTTAGCTTGATAAGGAAGAGGGGATGCTCCCTTCATCCCCTCTTCCTTGGTAGTATGGCAATTATTGCATTCTCACCTACCGCCATCCTACCACCAAGTTCAAGCTTCTTTCTCCCCGCACGGGCGCAAGGACTGTGACAGGGATGCAGCAGAAGCAGGCCAGACTGTGGAAGCGTACAAGTAAAGTAGTGGTAGTAGTAAATTACGAGGTACGTACTTTCCAGGGAAGGATAATTATTGGTAAGTGGTAACCCGTCCGGGTGGGAGTGGCCGCACGAGGCCAACCCGTGATGGAGCGACTACTAGACTAGAGCCAAAGTTGTCCCTGACTAGCAGAATAGTCAGGCGGTTCTTTCCCCCCCACCCACCACCACCACCTCCAACCGGCGCAGGAACAGTTTAGAGAAAAATTAGAATTATTATACGGTAAAAATAGTCTACCACTTCTGAAGTTGTTAATTTTCCATGTAGGAAGTATACCATCATTGCAGTGACAGATGGTATACATTATTGAGTATTTATACAAAAAATAATACTATTATTATTAACATTATAAGTTCTGCTGTGACTTTTTAACTACAAAAGAGAGACAGCGGAGGTCACTCCCAAGTATCTCCTGGGTGGTTCACGCAGCCAAAGAGTACTCGAACAGTACCTAGTCGGCCCAGCTCTCCACCTTTCACCTCCACCGGGCCCTCTCTGCCCCCTTTAGTGGTCAACGAACCTCTAACTAACCGCTTCCTCTTTCCACCTTAACTCTTCATGGTCAAGATTGTCTCCCTGCTTTGCCTTTTGCCCTTTTCCCTCCCCTACTCTCTCTCTCTCCGTCCGGTTCCAATTAACCTGGCTTAACCTAACTTGACCTATTCTTTTCTCCCCTTCTCCTCCTCTTCCCTCTCTTCCCTCACGCCTTTTCTCTCTTCCTTCCTCCCTCTTTCCCCTCCTTTGTCCTCTCCTCCCTTTTCCGTTCCTTATCCAACTCCTCCTCTCCCCCCTCCGAGGATCAGGACCGTCCGGTATCAACACCACCGCCACTCAAGGGACTTGTTTTCCTCGCTTCCACATTTCATTAGATTATTCCAATCTAGATGTGCTGTAGAGCGTGAGAAAAGAAATGCCCATCAATTGAGTTCGCGGGAGTAGTTGTGATCGATCCGTCCGATCTCATCTCCGCTGTGTTTCCCTCTTTTTAGTTGCAACAATATCCTCCCCCTATTCTAATAGCCGTCCTTCCTTTCACCCTCACGTCTTTTTCGACCTCTAGCAGTGCTACTGTTCTCTCGACCTGCCATTCAAGCTTCTAGCAAGCAGAAAGGAAACGGCAAAAAGTCAACAATCAGTCGTGATTTCACTACTGTTCAAACGCAACCATCGGAACCAAGGTTCGGAGACCGCCTGCATCCCAAACGGGAAAAAGTAATCCATTACGCAACCCACGTCTGTACATAATATAATATTCCCCGTCAATCCCTTGAAAACCCAACAAAAACCATCACCATGGGCCATTCTCTGAGGGATCACGCCTCCTTCGTCCGTCCGTCCACTCGCGACCGGCCGTCGACCCGCGACCAAGGAGAGAACTCGCTCGTCGTCCCTAGTCGCACCTCCTCACTTCACTCCCGCATTACGCAACCCATCCCTTCGCAAGCCAATACGAAAGCTTCTCAGCGAACCCCCAAGACTCTCACTCATGCTTACATGGTTTGCGGTGTTGGCCGGGAACCGTCCCAATGGGTCCGGGCTCCTGCGCCAGCACAGGGAAAGATTGGACACATGAAAGGAGCCGTAGGCCAGTTTTGGTTGCCGGAGATCTTGGGAAGCAGTCCCCGTCTGGAACAAGATAACGAAATTGCCAAGTCCTTGCATTCGGCCATGAGGGTATGTTTTTTTCTGACTCCGCCGCCATCTGGCAGAAGGATGGCTGACACTGACTGGCCGTATTAGGCATGCTTCCCTCACGATGTAGAGATCTGCACCGGCAAGAACCAGCCTCACTGCGTCCATCATGCCTTTGTTTTGCAGCAGGATTCTTCTCACACCCTTTACGGTATCGCCCTGCGAGTATGGTCCCGCGCAGACGACAAGCGTGCGGAAACGATTCGCGAATTGCGCAAGAAGACAGAGCCCGATTTCTACGATAACCCGGAAGAGACTTATTGGATCCCATACTGTCTGAGTTTCCTGTCTCGCTACCCACTCTACGACCTTCTGGGCGACTATCTCCGTGGCATGTGGATTCATTGGAACAAGGCCACCAACTTGTTCCATGCGGAGGAGGTTTCGCGGATTCTGAGCTTTCCGGCGCCCCGCCTCAACGACCTGGTTCGCATCGATATGAAGGATTATGCTCTCTGCTATCAGTTCCCATCGTCCCCAACGGGCTTCCAGAACTTCTCCATGTGGCCCCTCTTCACCTGCCTGTCGATCCCTAATGTCGTGGGTGTTGTTGAAGCTGCCGTATCGCCGACACGTCGTATCATCTTCGTCAGCCACTACCCAGCCATGCTCACCATGGCTGCAGAAACCATCCGTTACTGTGTGCGCATTTACGAATGGAGTGGATTGTATGTCCCCGTTGTCCACGCTCGCCACATCAAGGATTTGGTCCAGGAGCCCGGCCCGTACATTCTCGGTGTCACGGCTGAATGCCGAACCCTCTTCAACGCTCCCTCTGATGCTCTGGTCGTGGATCTGGACCGCAATTTTGTCCTCACATCGAGTCCGCCCGATGTTCTGACTCCTGGTCAGCGCACCAAGTTCATCAACCGGTTGACCCAAGCCTTGAATGGTGATGTTTCACCCTCGGGTGTTCCCAACCACCTCCGTTCTGCCTATGCTGGTGGCAAACTCATTCCCGCTGGACAGATCATCGTGATGCGGGGTGAGGTCGAGAGCGTCCAGGATCCTTCTTGGTGGAACCAGGATGCTGTGATGAACGTTATGGATCATGTGTGCGAGAAGTTGGTGAGTTATGTTTTTTAGCGCAAATAATGTGTGAGTCTTTCCGTTAACACTCTGTGTACTAGGGACGCAATACTGGCATGAAGGCCATCTTTGGTGGCTCTGTCAAGAAGCCTCTCATGACCAAGGTTTCCATGCGCCATCTGAACGAAATTGTGCGTGAAAGGAACCAGTACTCTCGCGATGCGATGGAAGCTTGGCAAGATTTCATCAACCTCAAGGGTCGCATGGACACCGAGCTGAGCAAGGTTACCAAGCGCAACAACTTCTTGGTTGAGGAGCTGGAGACCTGGAAGCAGCAGGTTTGTTTCCCCGCCCTAGATGACTCGTGTATAACTCGGAGTCTAACCCCATGCAGTTCCTCAAGTTCCAGGCTTTCGCCGAGACCCTCACCAAGGAAACATCTGAGCTCAAGGTTAAGATTGAGAACCACAAGCGTGAGAACCGTCGTCTTACCGGTCTCATTGACCAGCAGAAGGATGATGTCGCTCGTCTCTCTCTCCGTTTGTCCGGCACAGAGAAGCAACGCGATGATGCTCTGGAAGCGTTGGTCCTCCAACAGGAAATTGCCGAAGAGCTCGAGCGCGAGAGGAAGCGCAACCAAAAGGAGCTTGCTTCTTTGCAGCACTCCAATGCTTCCCTCACACGGCAACGCGACGAGGCCCAGCGCGTGGTGCTGGGTCTCCGCAGCCTTATCAATGGCCAGACACATCACATGGAGCACATCGTTCGTTCGATTGGTAGCTCTACCGACCTGACCGAGCTGCCCGAAGCTGAGGCTGCCGTCGAGACCAAGGAGGCCGGACAGGATGTTGAGACCCCGAGAGAATCTGCTGTGTCGTCGCGACGCTCTAGTGCCAATATCTCCGCGAAGAGCGTTGCCAACAATGTGAGCCCGGACTTGGAGCAACATCTCCTCAGCATGGGTAAAAGTCACAACCGTCTTGCACGTCTCAGCATAACTGATGTCGCAGATCGCTACCTGCGTGACAAGACTGATGCTATTTCTGACATCATCCGCAGCATCAGCGAGCAGTGTGCTGCCGCTGTGGAAGGCCTACAGCTTGCTCAAGATGCGGAGGATGATGACCTCCCGGCATCCGGCAAGACCACCCCAAATGGAAGCCGTCGTCTGACAACCGATGGACTTCGTGGGCACTTGACGCCAGCTGGCAGTGAAATGGGAGATGGCGACAACCACTCGTTGCACCCCGATCACCGGCGTTCTAGTGTCCCGCCGACCCCAGACCTGGTGCATAACCGGTCCAGCACATCCATGTCGATGGTCAGCAGCTCGACGTTCCCGGAGAGGTCGAGTCAGCAGTATGGGCCTGGCGAGATCCCGACCCGGATCATCGAGGACGATGATGAGCGCGCTCATGAGACCGATGGTCTTGATGACCACACTGAGACAGGCACTCTGTCCAAGCAGGCCAGCGAGGACCTCATTCGGGCCGGCTCTTCCCGACTGGTTGCGTAATTGTCTCTTGAGAACGACGATGCAACGCTTGATTTCGACGACTTTTGACGCGACGTCTGCTCCTACCATCTTGTCCGAATTAGAGCGAGTTGTGGCCACTCTTTGGCATTGATTTATCTGCCTGTGAATTTTTCTTTTGACAGTTCCCTGTTATTCCACCTTTCTTTTTCCTCTGGAGATTCCCATTGTTTTTGACTCCGTGATTCTACCCAGGCGTTATTCTCTACATTTCTCGGGAGCACCATGTGACCCCAGTTGATTTTTCACGGGACGGCTATATTGATTGCCTTGGTTATTCCCACCTGCCATCCCGTCTTTATACCACTTTTGCCTTCTTGAGAGTCCGTTGACTTCTCCCGCCTTGTAGTAGATCATTTGGCTTCCCCTCGTTGGGCCGACCCCTCATTCACCAGAATTTCCTATCCTGTCATCCTCCTGTTTCCATTTGTCCATACTTCTACCTGTTGACTAGGGCAGCTTTGAAAGCTGCTATGTGGAGTTTAGAGAGATACACTGAATTGGTGTCAGCCAATTCCCCACCGCAACACAAAAACCTCTGCGGTCCTCTGAATGTAATTGTTGGTTACAAACCTCATTAGAATCCTAATTGTTCATTATAAGAGTAATTCGAGTAACCTGACACTATAATGAATAGTGACTATGCCAGCTTGCCTGGCACAAATGGATGTCCGGCACTAAGTCCACCACAGACAGCCCAAGCCTGTCCATTAACATAGCTACTCTCATCACTCCCCAGGAACAACGCCACGCGAGCCACCTCATCCGCAACCGCTCCCCGCTGCAGAGGATTCAGCTGCCCAACCTTTCGCTCCGTGCCTCGCGCCCGCGCAGCATCAAACACCGCCTGAGTCATGCCCGTCTCAATCAACCCCGGACAGATGGCATTGACGCGGATTCCCGTCCCAGCCAACTGATACGCACACGTCTGGGCAACAGAAACAACCGCCGCCTTGGAGGCCGAGTAATCCGTCGAACCAGCATTCGAGCGCAGTCCTGCAACAGAGGCTGTGCAGATAATAGAGCCCCCGGGGTACGGCTTCGCCTCTGAGGTGCGCTTCATACCCTCAGAGGCGTATTTAGCTGCTAGAAAGACACTACAACAATCGAATCAGAAAATTACCCCCAGAAAATGCAGATGTCGTACTTGTACTCACCTAGCCACATTCGTATTCAACGTCTTCATCAACTGTGCCGCCGTAACCTCCGTGAAAATCTTCGGCTGGCCCACGATGCCCGCATTCGCGAAGAATATATCCAATCGGTTATACTTCTCTAGTGCGTCGTGGACGACTGCCTTGACGGCTTCTTCATCGGCGGCATCGAATTGGCGGATGTGGATGTCTACGCCGGGATATAGGGACTCGATCTCCCGCTTGTGGGTTGCCAGGTGGCTGTCTGCGTAGTCGCAGATGTAGATGGCTTTGGCGCCATTGTGGGCGTATTGGTGCGCTGCGGCGCGGCCGATGCCTGCGGGGGAGTTGGCTCCTGGTTGTTATTAGCATGTGTTTCCATGTATGTTCACGCTGGTAGTAGGTAGTATGCTGAAGAGGATGTTTACCGGTTACAATTGCGACTTTGTCCTTGACTCGGCTGGGATGTTGTCAGTTTTGAGGCATGTATATAAAAGGAACTCGAAGTATAAGTCTAGACGTACGGTCCGACGGAATCGCCTGCAACTTGGCGGATTCGAGGAATGCCCTCGAATGTGCCTGCGTCCGGAATGCCTTCCACTAATTGCTGGCTCACGGCTTGGAGACGACGTTTGGCTACTGAGGACATGATGGGTGAAGTATGGAAGGGCGGAAGATATAGCAGTGTACACTAGGTTCACGGGTTGAGGGATTTGTTTCTTTGAAGTCGAACTGTGGTGGAATTCTGGGGTAGAAGAGTGTATTAGGCTGGTTTTACACCGACAGGAAGACAACAATCAGCTTTACTTATTTTACAAGGTCGATCTCCCCCATCGCAGCCCCCAGAATGACGCCCGGTGGCTGCGGAGAACCGAGGCTGAGGGTCAGGTGACGAAGAGCAGAAGCCGAGGGAGGGAGACAAATCAGAGCCTGAGGCATAAAATATAATCGGAGTTAAGGCTTCTTACCGCCGGAGATGAAGATCGACCATTCCCTGATTTTCAGGCACCCAGGCCCCTATTACATAAGCGTGAGCTGGCGGCGTGCCAAGTCACATGGCTGCAGCCACACGTCATGGTCCGTTCGTTCGGCTCCCCAAAGCAGCTGGCATTCCAGACCCTGGCTGCTACTTTTCTCCTCCCTCGATTTTCCCCCGCGTTCCTGTCATTCCTTGCCTCTGTCTCAGCTTCGACCTCCTGCTTCCGCGGCTTCACTTGGAATTCTATCGCTTTTCTTTCTCGTCTTGCGGTTTAGCGTGCGGGTGTTATCATCATCTCCGGTTGCTCAGGTCGATCATCTGCCGCACAAACAAAGTCGCAAACAGCGGAAACCGGCCTCAGGTAGCACAGCCAGACACACAAAGCTAGAGGCTATAAAAAGACACACGCCGGTGATCCTACTTGATAAACTCCACATTCCTGTCTCAGAAATCACGCAAAGAAGAAAGACCGAACAAAACGAAGCATACATGAAGGCCGCAGTTCAAGTATCTGGCTCTGTTCACCGCCCCTCGAGTCATGGCGGAGTGCGATATCCCACAACTACCGCGTCGTTCCTCGTCTCGGACCTCCTCCTCTTCCCGGCGAAGTCAGAAGGCTAAGACCGTCCGTGCCCGCTCGCAAAAACGTAATTCGGCCTCCTCCAGTGCCACAGCCACCGACCTGACCTCGTTCCCTTCGCTTTCCCCAGACCGCTCCCCCGAGGGGTTCGTCGGCCAACCCGCGCTGAACCGTGCATTGACCAATGCCCTGTTGGAAGGTGAAGAAGGTAGTGATAACCCGCCGGATGTTAATCGAGATCGGAGGTCTACCTTGGTTAGGCTGACCGGTGGCTCGACCCCGAGCCCTGGTCGTGCTGCCCTGTTTGGGGATTCGGTGCCCATTCGTGATTTCCCGGGGGCATTGCACCTGGCGGATGATTCTCATATTGAACGTCTGATTGCGAGTACCGGTGCTGTTAAGCTGGTGCGACAGTTCGCCCGTGATTTGGCACAGCGCGATGCGGAGATTTCGGCTCTGCGACAGCGGGCTGATGCGAGGGAGAGGGAGTTGAAGAGGATGCTGCGGGAGGTTTCGGTCTCGAATCAGGATATCGAGCGTCGATTATATCAGCTGGAAAATGCGCCGTTGGGCGATGAAGCTGGTCAGGAACACGGTGGCAACACGGAACAGCCGGGCAGTTCCGCCTCCAGTATGCATGGACTGATGCAGCAGGCGATGATTGATGGGTTAGGATCTCAAGCTCATGAGGAAGGGACGGATGCTGCAGGTAATGTGCAGGCTACTGTTCGAGGTCCCCAACGTCTCGATAGCGATGCACGCTCTGGCAATTCTAGCGTGGAGTCGGGAACAAATCGCAAGAGACATGGCTCTATTCGAAGTTGGCAGGACTTTATTTTCGGTAATACTACGAATAGCCGAAAGACAAGTCGAGCAAGCAGCGTAATGGGTGAGGTCGAAGAGGAAGAGACTCAACGTCAGCGAAATCTCACCAACCCTTCTAGTCGCCGGAAAGCGCTGGATGAGCAATTATTTCAGCCTCCAGAAGGTCAACAAGGGCCTACTGCTGGTGAAGTTGCTGGAAAACATATCAATGCATCCACTGGCGGAGACGACGCTAGTACTCATTCACGCAAGTCATCCAAGTCGTTATCTTCGTGGACGGTCAAGTTGTTCGCTGGGAACTCACAAGCGAAGGACGAGACCAATAGTGATGATGGCCGCGGCAGAGCCTCATCTACGAATCGGGGTAGTAGCAAAGGTATTTCTCCTGCGCTTCCTCCCAATGCAAAGGGACCTGTTTCAGCCATGGCCGCCTTGAAGCGGATAAATAGCAACACTAGCGTGCACAGCGCTTCTGGGCGAACACCTGGTCCCAACAGCGTGGCCAAATCTGGCCAAATAAGCCGGAGGCAACCATCTGCGAGTGTCTCACAAGGAACAAACGCAGACGCTACAGCTAAAAACGCGACCAACCTCGGGCCTGTTGAGATGGATGCCATCCTTCCCCTGGAATCACGACCCCCTACTCTTTCAAATATGTACAACAACTACCAACCGGGCGAGTTGTTGACTGACCGTTTTGGATTCATCTACGACCAGCGTCGAAAGAAAAGACAAAGGGAGGCGAACGCGTCCAAAAATGCAGGCGGTAGCAACCGGCTCAGCATTGCAGAGACTCTCAGCAGCTTACGGAGCGATGCTTCCGATGGTGATGATGCATCCGACTCTTTAAAGCAACTGCAGCCAATGCCAGAACCTCAGTCTTCGCCTGTGTCTGCGTCTCCCGAGACCCCGGAAGCCGGTACAGTCGCACTTCGGAGATGGCAAGACTACCTGAGGGTACCCACTGGGCCGACAGAGTTGCTGTCACATACGCCCTCAGCAGGTCCTATCGTGTCCCTCACCACAGCAGGCGACAGTTCACCTCGCAATTCTGCTGTTGCTGTCGACAAACGTGGCGCAGTCTCCGTCAATCCGAACGCCCAACCATCGGCATCTACGTCCACAGTAGTCGCAGATCGTCCAGAATTCGCTGGGGTTTCCTCCGACGAGCCGGCCACATTAAGTCTGGCTGCAGGCGAGAATGAACCGGTTAAGTTGCTGCTCGAGCAGTTGACGGAACTACATGATTCCCTACAACGTGACCGGACCGTGCGGTGGAACGAGTTCCTGCGCAAAGTGCGTGCAGAGCGCAGAAAAGACGGCGAAGCCGCCGCAGCAGCCGCCGCCACCTCCGACCGGGCACTGCAGTCTGTCGATATGCCCGAGGCATCGCTGGCCGATGGCGAAGTGGTGGGTATTTCTGGCCTAGGTAACAAGGGCAAAGTCGGCCGTGCCAAATGGCGCGAGTTCCGGGTCCTCGTGTTAGGAGGAATCCCAGTTGCCCTGCGGGCAAAGGTCTGGTCCGAATGCAGTGGCGCCTCTTCAATGCGGGTGCCTGGTTACTACGATGACCTAGTAAAGGGCACAGGTGGCTCGGAACCCGACTCATCGGTCGTCGCCCAGATTGACATGGACATCAACCGGACTCTTACCGACAATGTGTTCTTCCGCCGAGGACCAGGCGTTACCAAGCTCAAGGAGGTGCTCCTGGCCTACTCTCGTCGCAACCCGGAGGTCGGCTACTGCCAGGGGATGAACCTCATCGCCGCTTCTCTCCTGCTTATCACTCCCACCGCTGAAGACGCCTTCTGGCTCCTCACCTCCATGATCGAGGTGATCCTTCCCGAACACTACTACGACCATGGTTTGCTCGCCTCCCGGGCCGACCAAGTAGTACTGCGCCAGTACATCGCCGAAATCCTGCCCAAGCTATCCGCCCATCTCGAGGGTCTGGGCGTCGAACTTGAGGCACTGACATTTCAATGGTTCCTCTCCGTCTTCACCGATTGCCTCTCAGCCGAAGCCCTCTACCGCGTCTGGGATGTAGTCCTCTGTCTGAATGTAACCAGCGCCGTCAACAACCCTCCCGCCACCGGCACAGCCACTGCCCCTTCTTCCACCTCCACGACCGACCCCACCGACTCAGACCCCAGCGCCAGCGGCAACGGGGGTGGCAGCACCTTCCTGTTCCAAGTAGCTCTCGCCCTCCTCAAACTGAACGAGCAACAACTCCTCACCACCTGCTCCACCCCAGCCGAACTCTACACCTACATCAACCACCAAATGACCAACCACGCCATCAGCATCGACGGCCTCATCCAAGCCAGCGAAGCCCTCCGGAACGTCGTCCGCCGCGAAGACGTGGTCGCCCGTCGCGCGGAAGCTCTCCGCGAGATGCAGGAATTCACACGAGGCCGCCCAACCTCGTCAGGGGATAGTTAGAAGAAAAGTCCCCAACTGAAAATCAGAAACATGTCCCGAAAGAGGAAGAAGAAAAAAAGAAGAAGAAGAAATAAGCATGATATCAAATATCAATTTTCTCCAAGATGTTGTCCTTTATCTGCAACTCCATCATTGATTGCATGATACCACATTGTGTTATTGGTGCCGTGTATCTTTATCGATATATTTCTGCCGTTCCCATTGCCAATGAATGCCCTTATAGACCAGCACCACCAATTTCATTTTTTTCCCGGTCATGATACGAATGAGTGTACTGAATTTCATTAGTGTAACGGATTAGTTCAATGTTACTAGCGCAGCGTTGGTTATACTCTTGTTGTGGTGTTGTCGTGCATGTGTGTTTGTCTTGGTAGAAATATGTTTTTCTTTCAATGATACATTTTCTGACTTACAAATGAGAATTGAACTTCGTCTTACTACTAGTATATACTGAGTATACACAATTCTAGATACCATTTGTGTGACTCTTCTCATAACTAATAGTAATACTTGGTAGTGATTACTTAGTAGCACTAGCAGTATTAGTGGTAGGGAATAGTATTATGAGAAATGAAAGGAAGCATGGCACGTGTCCGACTGGATGAGATACTAGTATATATTGTGAGGTCCGTGAGCATTCTGAGTTTCAGACACTGCATTTTAATTGTTCCTACTCAAACCGATATCATCATTATGACCAATCTTATCAATTATGATATGCAAGAAGTTCACCGCTATTGATTCCTACCTACCTCAAAGCATAGCGCTATTGAATATGTTTCACCCTGATCATTGTACAAAACTCGCAATTGAAGCTGATGTGAATAGCTGCTACCAGCCGAAGTAGTTCTTTCGTTAAGTCATTTCAAGCAATATCAAAACAATATAGCTGGTAGATCGGCAAAAATATAGCTTATTCTTATTTTCAAACATATAGAAAAAATATAGATAAATAAATAATAAACCCCCTAAGCGCATGGGATCCCCAGCGGATCAATGAAATCAACTCGTTGGCATCATCTCAGTGTCTTCTTTTTGGACAAGCAATCATTATCAGTCGGGGAGGGGTATCATTGCCATGGGTAGGTAAATATCGACAGGAAAATAGAAGGGGCTTGTGCAAGGGTCGATCAAAAAGCAACCCGAAATTTCATGTGCATATAGTATAGAGCCCCGCCTCTTTACCTGGCCATTGGAAGGAGGTCGGGTATCCAAAACCGACTGTTGTCGAGGACCGTGGTCAGGTCAATTTCAGGCATGGTAGGCCGAAGACCAAGGTCCATTACATCACGGGCGACCGCCTTGATCTGATGCATGATGGTCTGCGAAATCGCCCAGGTCCTACCCAGGGTCTTGAAAACCCCAATGGTAAGCGTCAGCCGGTCACGGCTGGGGTCGGGCATCTGCCCGGCCTTGACAGAGCACGCGGCCAATTGCACCATGGAGCTGAGGACCAGCGAACAGATGAAGAAGGGTGTGTGCTTCACAACTGGCATGCGAATAGACGCCAGCGAGGAGATCTCGCTGGCTGCCTTGACCGCCTTCATGGCATGCGCATGGTGCGAGAAGGCGGGGATGCTCAGCGGCCCGTGATGGCCGCAAATAACCTCCGCTGCCACTGCTGGGGAAGACAGCAGATCAGATCGCGGGAAATGGAGGTAAATCGCAGAGCCGTTGACGATCATTGTCGCTTGGAACATCATCTCGTCGACGGACCCGTCCGAGCGCAGCAGTTCGGCCTTATTCTCGGGAAGGTGGTGGAAGAAACTGGTAATCCGTGCATCAATGGCCTCGACATGGTCCTGCTGGCCCTCAATCATGTCTTGGATGGCCACTACGCGTCCCAGGATGCGAACGGCCTCGATTCGGTAAGTGAAGGAAGAGAAATCTCGCTCCTCATCTGCAAAGACACGCTCGTCGAATTGCGCAATAGTGGGTGCAGGCGGAGGTGGGAGGGCATCTTGGTAGATACGCTCTTCACAGGGCAATGGTACCTCGAGCGGCCCCGAATTGCATCGGAAAGCTGGCTGAACACCCAGTGCAGTGAGCATGCCTTCAATGATGAAGAGCTCCCACCAGGTGCGCCTCAAGCTCTCTTCCCGCACCGGGTCGCCATAGCTGAGCTGCGGCGCAGTGTCTCTTTTGTTCAATCCCAACTCGAAGGCCAGATTGACAGCCGTCGTCACGCACTCGCCCGCCTTCTGCCGCTCATTGCGGGAATGCAAGACAATGGCGAGGAGCACCAGGGCCTGCAATTTTTCAATGGACCCTTCCTGGTCCATCACGGACGACATGACCGTCGGCCGGTAGTTCTCACTGTTGGCGGCCGGAGTAAAGTGGGTCCCAATGAATTTGATGACATGCTCCAGGAACGCAGGCACATGGTTGCGGTAAAGGACACGGTGGGGCGGCAAGACCGGGTGGGAAGGATGAAAATAGGTGTAGAAGATGTCGATAAGATAGCCATCGCCTGCAATGGTAGAGATCGAGTCTGGTGTCATGGGGCTATTGGTGACGCCGACCGTCTGCGAGTGCGAGGAGCCAGAGTTATCTGTCAGAGCGGGACTGCCGGAGGGTAAGGAAGAGGAGGGCAGGGAAGTCGGCACGGGGGTGGTGACGGCTGGCACCGCATACGACATGGGCATGTTACTCGACAGAGTCCAGTCAGACGGCACATTGAAGTACTGGGGCTCGAAGGAGGTCGACATGTCGGCGGGGAGCTGGTCGGGGGAGGATGGATTGGCTCGACGCTTCTTCGAGGGGCCCTTGTAACCGCGACGCGACGGGGTGTATTGACATTCAGAGCCTGTGGCGGAACAGCGACCGCAGACAGGAGTCTTTCCATCACATTTTAGGTGCTTGTGTCGGCACAGCAGACAGGCAAGCAGCGACGGGCCCGAGTTTTTGGCAGAACCGGAGTCCTTAACGGAGATGAACGGGTTTTGTTGGAGACCTTGATCCATGCTGAAGGCGGGAACAATCACTGAATGGTTACTGAGAATTAATAAGCTGGTGGTCTCATTTGCGCAATTCCAGCACCATGCAGAGAAGAAGAAGAAAAAGTAAAAAGGAGAATCCGGCGGGGTTCAGAGTGACCAGAGACAAGTTGAAACCCAGCAGGAGAAGAGGAAAAGAAAGACGGCAAGCGGAAGTTCGGTACAAGCGGGGGTGACGGCGGAAAGGAAGGTTTTATGGAAGCACAAGAAAAAAGCGGGCGGGAAGTTGAGGTGGGGGGGGAGGAGGAGGAGGAAGGAGAAGGAGATAAATTTTTTCTAAAAAAAAGAACCAGGGATGGAAAGAAAGACGATGGATACAATCGGAGAAGGCCGAATGGATTGATTCTAGGACGATGACTGGCAGGTAGGGGGGATATTGAATTAACTAGTTAACTAGCACTAGACGCAACGGCGACACGAATCATGCAGGACGACCAGTGCAGTAGAAGGCTTAGAAGGCCAAAAAGAGAGAGACATACCACTTTTTTTTCTTCCCTTTTCTTTATTAATAAATTATTATCCTATTCTTGCCTTTTTGACAGGCCGAAGGATGATCGATCAGACCAGCCAGACGTTTCTTTAGCTCGAGTCTCCACCGACAGCCGCAGATTGCCCAGCATCTCACCCATTCACGCTTCACGATTGGGAATGGCCGGTGAGGGTGGAGCTGCAGCGATCGGATGTGACACAGAGAGAAAGCTGCAACAAAGGAAAGAGAAAATAAGGACTCGAACAGTTGTCAAGGGGGTGGTGGATAAGGGAAGAAGATGAAAAGATTTGGAATCATCTGTCTTGAGAAGTTGGACAAGTAGTGGGTAGTTGATCGATAGTTCACAATAGATAGAGAGAGAGAGAAGGTTGGAGTTGGTATGGATAGATGGATGGATGATGGAGAAGTGATGATGCTGACTGAGCCGGTAACTTTACGCACGTAACTAAAGTACTGCATCTATACCAACGGGATACCAAGTAAGTACGTAGATACCAACTATCTCATCTATCTAACTTACAACTACGTTAACAAGCAAGCAACAACCTACTCTCCTTCCTGTTCTTCCTCCCCCCCTCCTTTACAAAAATCTTGTTTACACTTTCCCTCAAACCAGGTAAGCTTTCGCCGTAAGAAAATCCCATCAACCATAGACCACTCTTCTATGGTTCGACCGACCCTCCCCCCATCCCCAATCGGGTTTTCTCTATTCCCTCAGCTCCGTTCTCCATCTCCGACTACTAGTACTTAGTAGTAGTCTAACTATCAACGTGGCTTCCGCGCAATCACACCCTTCCGTCATCGCACCAACAACGCTCACTCACTCACTCACTCACTCACTTCCCCTTCCTCTCTCTCTTTACTACTACCACTACTCAACAAAGAAAAACAAACAAAAGTACCTTACTCTGTTCAATTACTTACCTCTTCGTCACCAATCAACCAGTCCAATTCCTCCCTGAAGCGCTAAATAACAACAACCTAATACCTACTACTACCTACCCTCCACAATGATCACCGACGACGAACTCCACCGTCTGGCCGTCTTCCTCGGCTCCTGCGCCATGATGATGATCGTGCTTTACCACTTCCTCGAGGTCAATCAGAAAGAAGATGACGAGGAGGTTGACGTCAAAAACAACAGCAGCAACAGCAAGCAACAATCTACGGGCGCGTCGTCGTCGGCTGGTTCGACTACTACTACTGCGTGAATTTGATTTGATTTGATTTGATTCGGTATGGACTTGGACTCGGAATTGAAATTGCAGGGGCAGTGTCGTTATTATAATTGTCGGTTGATTGTTGATTGATCGATTGATGGATTTGGCCTTGGGAATGCGGTTTGGTTTCCGACTTTGCGATACAAACTACTACATGTATGGTCGATTGTTCCTGAGCGCGCGCAAAAGGAGACAGACAAACAGACAGACAGACAGACAAGGGGGGGGGGGAATGGATCATGGCGAAAGTGTGGTGGATCAGAACAGAAAAGTGGCGATAAATAGATACCCCGGTGGTCGTCGTCAATATAACTACCCTATTTTTCAATCTTCTTTCCAGTTGGTTAGATATGGATCCATTTTCTATATGGTACATGGTTGATGTTGCTATGATTTACAACGGTATAACATCTCGGGAATATCTGCATACTGAATGCGAACAACAACGCCGTCGCTCAAAAACACTCGCTGAATCCCGCTGTCAAATGCCATGCAATGTAATGCGAAACCGATGAAACTACAACGAACTAAAAAGTGACGGTATCACAGATCACGGTTCTTCTAGGTCGCTGGCACCACCTCGTAGACATCTTCGTCATTGTTCAATCGCTCATTCCGCGCCGGGGTCGCGAGCTCACATCCGCCCGGGTCCAGTCCGACTCCAATGTGCTCCTTCAGTCGCTGGACTGCCTTGAGGATCTCCCGGGACCTCTCCTGTTGAGTATTATTCCCATGCACTCGGTTAAAAGCACGGATGGAACTGCCGCTGGCAGGGATTATAAGTGAGTCTTCACTGTTGGGCTGTGCGGTGTCTGGGATGCCCAAGGGCCCAGAACTGCCGCTAGCATCGTTTCCCACTACATCGCACAAGTCAAAGTTAAAAATCAATCACTGCTCCGAACAATCAAACTAGTCGCAAGCTGAAAGAATGTTATCATCCAGCAGATGCTTTCTCACCAGTTACAGGCACCGTGGGCCCATCCCCGAGCTTCCATGCGATCGGTTCCAAATGCTCCTTCTTCACATGTTTGAACAAAACTGCAGCAGGCAGAGCGTCTGGGAACGTGCACCCCTTCCATGCGCAATTGAGCGTCTGAGACACGTGCACCTTGAAGACATGTTTCTTCAGCCCATCCAGATTGTGCATCTGCGCCTGGCAGTTCGTCCAATCACATGCAAATACCGGGTACGGAACTGACGACGACATGGGAGGCTGCTGAGGCTGCTGGGGCTGCTGCCGCGCCTTGTTCGTGCTGCCCGGGGGCCGACCCGGTCTTCTTTTGCCCGTCATCGGTGTCACTCGTGTCGTTGTGGTAGGTACACTCGATTGTGACGGGGGCTGAGGGGTCGACGGTAGTTGCGGCCGCGTTTGTGGTAGCGGGGGCGCTACCGAAGCAAATGGGCCGTTCTGTGGCTGAGGGGCAGCCTTGGAAGAACCAAGGTGCTGACCCAACACCGGCTGACCCTGCAGGGGCTGCGAAGGCGGATATTGTCGTGCCGGCTGTGACTGGGGAAGAGGTGGCGGTTGCCGGGCTTGTGGTGGAGGGGGAAGAGTGGTGTTGGTGGTGCTCGGAGGGACGGGCAGTGAAGGCGCGGGACGCGGCCGCGGCCGCGGCTGCGACTTTGGCGGTTCTGGGTCACGTGGTTCCAGCGCGTCGACTAGATCCCAGCGAAAGGTCGACAGGTCCGACGAAGTGTCCACATGAACAAAAACATCGCGCAAGCGAAGAAGGTGATGGTTCAGTGTCTCTTCTGTTGGGTGGCGGCCGGCTGCGATGAGGACGTCTCTGGCGATCGTCTTCGGGTCGTAGATCACCTTATCGACGGCATCCTCCTCACGTAGCGGTTTAACAATGTCGGCACGCGATTTCAAATGGTTTTTGGGTGCAGGGGAGCCGGTGCCTCCTGTTTGTGGTGAATAAGTGTAGATAGAGAGCCCTCCAGCCGGACGATCCTCAGCAGGCGCTGTTGCGTAGCTGGGCAATGAGGGTCGCCCGGATGATCGTTTAGAGGTGGATGGGGGCGCTATCCGACGTCGCTTTGCATCATGACCAGGCTCACTACCATTTCCACCAGTATTTGTTTGCTGCATTGTAGCTTGCGAGGTTGTATTCGTCATCTGCGCAGGTGGATTAGGCGGAGGCGCTGAAGTCGACGGCTGGACAGTCGGGACGGTTACTGGAGGAGCCGAGTGGGATGTCTGAGCTGGGGTCGTTGGAGTGGCGTGCGAACTCGTTTGAGGCGCTGTCATAGGTGAATAGGAAGGATGTGCAGTAAATTGCGTCGGTGGCATGGGTGAAGGACGTGAATTGGGAGCTTGCGCCGGTGTAGGTGGCAGTAGAGGTGGGGCCGTATTCGACATCTGCAGTAGCAAGGGCGAAACGACAGCATTCGAGGGTTGGACTTGAGGCTGGCTTGTAGATACGGTACTAGACGACTGGGCAGGGGGTAGACTCGAAGGTACAGAGCCTGACATCTGAGGTGGGATCGGTCTAGACGGTGCTTGCGGGACTGAATGTGTCGCTGGATATGAAGCCGGCTGGTACCCTGGAGGGGGCGCTGGATTGGACTGAGGTGCCGGTCGAGACATTCGAGGAGGGGGCGGCTTGTACCCTGCTGGAGGGCCAGTCTTATGTGTCTGCACCGGCTTCGGCAACTGATGCGCACGTTTGTATTCTTGCGAAGGAGGGGGCCTCGGTGATTTGGAGGGCAGCGACTTCGGGCCAAAAGGAGCAGCGAAACGGGACGAGCTTTCAGTATGCGAGCCTGGGGGTGGTGCCACAGGGGAAGCTTGGGTATGCTGCGTTTGGTGAGACCGAGGATTGTGAGGGTGATATTGGTTTTCTGGGAATGAGGGAGGCCTCACGTCCCTCTCGTTTGAATACTGATATCCATGAGATCCGGCAGCGCCATTGTGGGCAGCTGTGTAAGACGTGGACGGGGGCACAGCAAAGTAGGCATTCGACTGATAGAATGCCGCATGATCATCGACGCCTTGGGCTTCTGGGTCGTATCCATGACGCAGGTAACTTTCCAGCCACTGCAAGTCTTCGCTTGACATCTTGCGCAGCTGGTGTGGCAGATGGATATCAAGTATGGTGCCAATTCTTCGCTGTCAGCATCATTTCCGACGTGCAAAACAGGAAGGATGTGAAAATATTCTGGAGAATGTATCCCGAGCTGGTCTCACTGTGACCGCAATGAACAGTATAGAGCCTCACAAAGAAATCGTGCCAAACGGTCGGCCTGACGCGACCGCATCGGAAGAGGGATTAGCGGCGCGCATGAAAGAGGCTCGCCGATGTAAATTCCCCACCGCCTCATGCGGGCGGTGAGTCGCGACAGGAGCTGTCTCTGCGCTGGCCAATCGGAAGCAGGATCAGCGTTAAGCGGAGTATCACGTGACGCACACTTTTAAAGCTCGACTATTTATACTGCAACTTCCAACCTTTTCTGCAGTAAACCAGACAAGATGTCCATTGTACCACAACCAACAGACTCAGTCGTCTGAGTTGATCGCCAACACAGTCATCTCCGTGTTATTCGCAATGCTGAGCCAGGAATCTTGAGCACTGCCAATGCTTCACCTTTGCAATTCATGTTTCGTTGCATAGAGGACAGCATTGGCTACTCATTGACCACGAGCTTCAAGCATTTTATAGCAAGATCCTGACTTTAGAGGACGTCTTGGACACTCTGCTTTACCAATGTCTTATTGATATTGATTGCACCGACTCTCAACCAATCTAGTTTCTATCTCAACGCGCCAGATTATCTCCTCATCAATCCACTACCATGGTTGAAGAGGTATACGGCTGGCGCAGAAGGAATTGCAGAAATGCATTTACATCTAGACAAGTCTAGATCGCGTTCTGCCTCGCTTGCAGACCCGCACTGAGCATATCGCAAGGACGCTGCGGGTTTGAGAGTGAGATACATGCTGTTGTAGATATATAGTTTTATATATGATTGATCGAATATTATGATAATTGATTGAGATTTGTCTATTGTTGAGTGGAATGAAGTGTTCTGTAGAATGTCTTTGTCTGGTACTGTTGTGAGCTTAATAGATGGCTAAGTGTAGGTCGCGTAGTGGATGGCTTTGCGGCAGTGATATTAAGGACTTAGGTGTGCCAGTTGAGTACTAGCTACTGCTAAATACTGATTGCTTGAAGGAGAGACTTGTTTACTGAGGCGTCACACAAGGTTTCTTGAGCGTGTATACTAGTCTCTAAGCTGTCTCCAGATAGTAAGAACTCTCGTTAAGACTACATGTACTCTACACCAACGTCCATACCACTTCTCAATCAAACAACAGACACGCTAGACGTTATTACATTGGGACACCACCCCAGGAGTAAATATAAATACCCAAGGATATGAATACCAGCCGCAGTCATCATATCATACAAACAAACAGAAAAGAAGAAAGACATATGTCCCGCTCAATTGGCCGAAAACCAGACGATCGTAAATCGTTCCTCCACCTCATAATCACCACGAAGACAAATAAGATACACCATCACCAATACCCACCAACTACCTACTTACTGACTATGCCCAACACACCTCCCCCAAGCAGGCAATCCACACCCCATCCCCACAAACAACCACACCAAGAACACGACCACAACAGCCAACAAAACCATCAACTTAACATTCTTCCACCACATCCGTCTCCTCAACCCCCGACTCCTAATGCGAAAATCATGCGCACTGCCACCCAACCGATCCGTCTTATCCACCAACAAATCAATCCGTTCTCCCCTCTCCAACACCCGTTCGATATTCTCCGTCATGATGTTCCTCACGCTATCAATCTCCCGCTTTGCCGAAGCCAGCGAATCCGCCGGCGGGGCCGTATTATACGTCTGCAGCAGCGAGCGGAGCTCATTGTTGAACGCGGCGCAACCGTAAGCCGGGAGAGCAGAAAAGTCCGTGCTGGAGGGCGAGTAAGTGGCGAGGAACTTGCGCTTGATTTCGAGGAGGAAGGCGAAGGGAATGCGGCGGCCTTGTTCGGCGGTTGCGACGACGATGTAGCTGAGGGGCGCGTAGGAGTTGGGTTCGCCCTGGCGGGGGTCATCGGGGGTGCTGGGTGTTGTGGGTGAGTCGGCGATGTAGTGCACGAAGAGACGCTCGTGGGTGTAGGTGAGCTTTTGCGGTTGGTCGTGGCTGATCTTGGGGAGGATGATGGAGGCGAGGGACGAGGCGGCGCTCGAGGATGTGCCTGGGGAAGAGTGTTCCGCGAGGATGGTTGTGCGGTG